TACACCACATGCAAAGCACCCTCATAGCCTGTCTCTCTTGTTGTTTCCCTAGCGGCCCTGAGAGGAGGGTATGATTATCTCCATGCTGCAGATGGGAAAACTGAGGCCCAGGGAGGTTAGACAGCCATGGTCACACTGAGGGTGCGTAGCAGGGCTGAGGTTAGAACCAGACCTCCTGATTCCCAGTCCAATGCTGCTGAAAACTATGATGCCTGATAAGGGAGCCTGGGCCCCAGGGAGTGTTATGATTTAATGAAAGCAGCCACCATTCATTAAGTACTTACTGTGTGCCAGGCGGAGTCATTAGCTCACATAAGCTGCTACCCAGATGTTGAATGTCATTGTCCCTGTCACAAGGGGCCATCACAACCTCCCTGGGAGGTGGGAAGGCATCTGTGATGTGTCAAAGCCAGCTTATCTCGAGTGCCCCATACACCTGATGTGCTGCAGCTGGACAACGGGAAGATGGGAGCTGCTGACAAGATGTATTTGCCTTTTCATTCTTGAGTCTGCGCACACAACTGCTCTCAAACAAACATCAAATAGACATGTGGTCACTTCAGTGACCTCCTTGTCACAAGTACAAGAACACAAACTCCAAGGCATGGAACGTCTTGTCTGATTTGTATGAGATGTCCCCACTGAGATCAGGAACTAGGAAATGCCAGGTACCGGGGAAAGAATGCTGGGCTTCTAGTTGGCCTGGATTCCACACCACTCTCTGCCCCGGGTCTGCTGGATGACCTTAGGTGTCACTTTACTAGTTTATAAGTGAGTGTCACTCTCTGGATGCATACAATAGGGGGAGAAGAGAGGTGCTCAATTGTTTAAGTCATTGGCTCATTCATCCATTTGCTTACCATGTATTAATATTAAGTACCTACTATGTGCCAAGCACAACTAAGNACAGGCACACGGATGGACCTAGAAATTATCATAATGAGTGAAGCCAGATAGAGAAGTACAAATATTATATGATATCACTTATGAAATATTACAAATGAACTTTTTTCTAAAACAGCAACAGACTTACAGACATAAAAAACAAACTTACACATGCCAAAGGGAAAAGGAAATAAAGTATGGAATCAACAGATACATATAACATAAAGTAGATAAATAACAAGGATTTAATGCATAAAACAAGGAACTATATTTAGTAATCTTATAATAATTTATAATGGAAAAGAATCAGAAGTATATGTACGTATATAAATAACTAAATCACTTTTTGGTATGCCTGAAATTAACAAAATATTGCAAATCAACTATATTTTAATTCAAAAAGAAAGAATACAAAAATGCAGTTTTCTGAGCCTTACACTCCAGATTGAATCTCAGAATCATTTTGAATGATTAGATAGTTATAATTTTATTACTCTTGCATTTCACAATCTAACACTGAGATCTTTATTAAAATGAAAATCTAAGAGCGACTGCATTAAAACAGTGTGTACTCCATGAAAGCCTTCCTCCACATTTCACAAGGAAAAAAAGATCTCTTATTTCTATACTGAAGGACAGAATATGAAATCAGAATTCTCAAAATTTGGGTTTAAGTTGCACTCAAATGCTTTTAGAAAAAAATCCATATTTTTATATAGAATTGTGCTGCCAAGTATTAAGTATTCAGATTAGTCAATAATTATCTTCATAGAATGAGAATGAGAAAAGAACCTATCCTTATAGAGCTGTTCAGTCCTGAGTGCTTAGAAATAACTATGTGCCTACTACTACCTTTGGACTTAACCAGAGAAACCAGCTCCTACCTACATTTTTATACATATTCTGAGGCTGTTCTCAGCCTTAAAACAGCATTATAATCCCCAAACTATACAAACTCAAGCTAAATGGAGGTGAAGCCTTCAGAACTACTGAGATTAAGACTGAAAGAAAGCTTAGGACTCACTAGTCCAGTCACCTCATTGTACAAAGCTCAGCAAAAATGTTAACATAAGGGTGAGTAAAAAAGCCAGAAATTTTGATATTATCCATTGCTTTTTACTGCTGTCCAGATCATACAACTTTCTTACAGTGCTATCCTATAATTTCTTAAATAATAAAAGTTCTCTTTCAACACCCTTTAACTGCTTCTTTGGGCTACTATGAATATTCTTTTAACATGCATTCCAAACTGTCTATCCCATAAACTGACGATAGAAACAGAGATGTTATGTGCATCAACACCTCATCAATGTTTATATCATTAAGCCATACAACCTTAAGCATTAAGGTTTTAAAATTTTTTCTTGGAATCCCACACCTATACAACTTCAATCAACATATTCTACCTGAAAGACAAAATTAGATCTGGAAATTACTGAGGATTGTAATAGAAAGTTACAACTTGCATGTTTTATGATTTCACATAATTAAACTCAAAGTATGATGTACAAATTGCTGAAACAGGAAAGACTTGAAAATTATCTTACACTGAAAAGAATACAGATAGTGTTATTCTAAATTTTTTGAATAAAATATTATTAGCTAATTTGATTTTAGAAAAATATGAGAAACCAAAAATCTGGATCCTGAATCTATTGCCATTTTCAAATAGAATGAATTACTCTCTTGAGGAAACAGAAAGCAAGCAGTTAAGCTTCTGAGGCTTAACTAGAGAAGTTCACTTTAGTGAAATGAATGGTGGAGCTTGGTAAAATTCTTCTCATATATTTAAGGTTCAGGTCTATTTCACACAGCTCTAGAATTTAGAACTCTGAATGAAGCACCAAGAATACAGACTTGCATTCATTACTTGGAAGAACTTTCTCACAATCAAAGTTGTTTGAAATCAGAACAGTCTGCCTCTTATGTTCTACTGAGGATTTAAATCTACTGTTTGTCATTTTTTGGTGATTTGCCTAAGGTAACCTCCAAGGAAATAGTAGTCTTTGCAATGCAAATTCAAAGTGCAGTACATTCTGAACCACGATCACATGACTTAGATTTGACAATTTTTCAAACAGTATTAATCCTTTTGGAAGATAAAAACCGTAACAGAATCTGAGGCACTTCCCTTATAGACAGTCTATCATCAGCATAGCATTAAACTACAGATAAAACTAAAACTCTATTGTTTATTTTGTGGTTTATATTCTCTATGGGAAGTGTGAAATTCATAAAGTATATGAATATGTGTCAATTATATATATGCTAAAATTATCAAACACTTAATATGTGTCAGGAGCTATTCTAAGAACATTATATGAAATAATTCATTTAAGCCTCATGAGTGTTTTACTATCAGTTTCTATTTACAAGTAAAGAAATGAGAGATGGGGAGAGTTATGTTATATGCCCCGATTTGTATCATCAGCAAGGGATGGAGTCAAAACTTGACTTCAAGATAAGCCTGCCCTCTTAACAACTCTCCAAATGTCACATTTGTGTAGGCAGTGAGGGGTTTACCTGGCTATTATATGATAGGAATAATGAAATGTTAGCATTTATAAAATAAACATGATCAAACATGAACAATGACAATACTTATATAAGCAAAATTACCATTTTCACCTTAAGAAATAGCCTTCTTCCTGTCTCTAAAAGGATGTAAACTATAAATAACCTCTGGTTAGAAAGATCTTGTAAAGAGTCTGCCTGCAAAGTGGGAGACCCGGGTTCAATTCCTGAGTCAGGAAAATGCCCTGGAGAAGGAAATGGCTACCCACTCCAGTATTCTTGCCTGGACAATTCCATGGACAGAGGAGCCTGGCGGGCTAAAGTCCACGGGGTCACAAAGAGTCGGACACGATTGAGTGACTCACACACCCTGGGTTTCCCAGTGACACCAGCAGCACAGAACCCGCCCGCCACCGCAGGAGACCCAGACAGCTGGGCTCAACCCCTGGTCAGGAAGGTACCCTGCAGGAGGTCATGGCAATCCACGCCAGTTTTCTTGCCTGGAAAATACCACGAGCGGAGGAGCCAGGAGGGCTATGGTCCACAGGGTCGCAAAGAGTCAGACTTAAGTGACTTAGTGCATGCATGCACTGGGAAAAAGAGCTGGATCTGAGATAAGCACTGAATCATGGGATTGATTCAAATCAATAGTTAGGAAGTGAAGAACCATCTGAAAGGAGTATCAAGATGGAAATCTTGAAAAGAAGTCAGAGAAGTCAGTGAAGGAAACAGCAATCAAGTTTCCACCATTAAATGGAAAGTAGAAAAGGCAGCAGAATACTAAGAGATACAAAAATCTATGTAATAACATAAAATAAAGGAATATGTGGACCTTTAGAAATGTGCTGAGTTTAAAGTAGTATGAGAGGGGAGGTTCAGAAAATGATAGCAGCATTGTTCTCTTGGCTTTGGGATAATATGAATAGAAGTAAAAGTGAACCAGTGATTTCTACAGCTTCTAGAAAGTTGCAATTAAAATTTGTTTTCTGTGGCTTAAACCATCTGCACTATGATTTAAATCCTCTTCACTATGGCAAGAAAAGAACTGCATGGAAACAAAAAACATCTGAATAAAGTGTCCTGATAAAATTACCTTGTAACTAGTACAATCCAGTGCCTCTATACTGCAAAGATAGCAGGTTTACAAACACTACCTTAAAAATCCAAACCCAACTTGGATAGCCTTCACTGGTGAACCAGTTGGACCTCAGTCCCCTTTAAAGCTACTCTCTCCATAACCCCAACACACAAGCTGTGGCCCTACCCATGAAGAAGTGCCCCACGTGCTCCTAGAAATAAAATCAGGATGCTGCTCCTGCTTGGCTCTGGCTGGTGCTGAAGCTGCTGTTTGTGACTGTGCTCCAAGCAATTGCCAGTTGCTCTGCCAGAAATGCCACCTGACCTGCTGCTCATTACTGCATGCTCGCTCCTACAGCTTCCAGCAGTTAAGGGCTGGAAACATGCCCCAGACTGCTGCTCACAGCCGGCCCCGCTCCTGCCTGCCACAGCTCAGCCCTTCCCTCATCCTGATGACATCACCATTCTACCCTCCAACACAACATTCTCTCTTTTCTGATCTCAACAAGCAACTCACTCAGTCCTCTAAGTTCGACTTCTTGGGCGGCCCGTCTGGGGAATGAGGTGGATAGAGTCACACAATTCTTCCAATTTTACCAAGGTCAGTGTTTCTCCTAGGTGCACAAAAGTCATCTACGGCAGGATCGTGGGTATAGGGTAGATTGAATCACTATTTTTTTGTTCCTTTGGTCAAGGTTTCTGAGTCCAGCTCCACAATGATGCTATCACCATAAAGTTTTTTTTTTTTATGAAAGTGAAAGTGTTAGTCGCTCAGCTGTGTCCTACTCTTTGTGACCCCATAGACCTCACCAGGCTCCTCTGTGCATGGAATTCTCCATGCAAGAACACTGGAGTGGGTTGCCATTCCCTTCTCCAGGGGACCTTCCCAACCTAGGGATCGAACCTGGGTTTCCTGCATTGTAGGCAGATTCTTTACCATCTGAGCCACCAAGGAAGCCCTTTTTAAATTTATTTTTTTAATGAGCAATACAGTTATTGCTGCCAACCACAAACTGCTGATCCACAGTATATTATGTGTGAATATGTCTAAAGTTCAATTTTGGAAAGTTTTCATTTATTTCCCCAAAGTTTTTTCTGATTTACTAATTTTGGATTAAATGAGAATATAAATTATTGATAAAATGAGAATAATATGGGCCATATAGCATAATACAATCAAGGGAGTGGGAACCCATCTTATTCACAAGTCCAGCCTGCACTCAAGGGAACAAGATTATATAAGGCATGTGCCCCGGGGGTAGAGATTTTAGGGACCATCTGAAAACTCTTCCTACCACAGGTGAATTGGCATTCTAACTACACATGCTGACCAAACACACAACTTCCAGTTTTTCTGGAAGTTAGGTGTACGTTTTTATTTCCCTGCTGAAAATAAGACCCTTTCTACCTCCACAGCTAGTCTGTGAATTGTATCACCCCACATGCCCTGTCAACTGACTCTAGGTCGACTTTGAATATCTACAAAATGACTTAATCCAATCCTACTCTTGAGAACTTGAGACTATTCTGGCATCAAGGTCATATACTTTAAACATTTGGAAATTTTAATTTGACAGTGAAGAGAAGGCAGAGGACTTTGCCATGACCTTACTCAAGTTATCAAAATCTATATGACATTTGGTGACTAAGTACCAAATGGCATAAGGTCTATGGTTAGCAAAGAAATGTGCGCAAGCTTTAAGAAGGATGTGTTTGAATATGTCAAATATATATATGATTTCACATGCAATTCATCACAGGCCATCTTGAAGACTGTCTTAATGACACCCTTATAAAACACAAACAGTTGGTCTACCTGCAACTGGATCTGATTCTAAAGTTCTCAGAGAACTGGGGCCATTTTAGAATTATGGAGAACTAATGTTCCTGATAAAAAATATAATTTGTCTTTACCAATATGCTACATCATGGGTGAAATAAAAACACTGTGAAATATAACACTCAGTGTCTCTCTGGGTACAAGGCAAATTCTATTTAAGCTCACATTAAAGGGATAGATGATAGTCATTAGAAACTGAACAAATAGTCTGGGTTGAAGGGAAGTGCTAAAGTGAGAAAATAATCAGTTTATTTACATTTCTTTCATTTTCTTTCATGATAGAATCTCTAAATTGGGTATAAAAAACAATTGCGTGTGATCAGCATCATCCTTATTTAATAAAAGCAAAAACAGTTCCACCAATACCCAGGGGAAGATGGAACACCCCACTAGTCCTGCCCATCAACAGCAGACATTCATTGAGAGTCCTGTGAGTGTGAGGCTACATCAGATTTAATACCATACTACATGGCATCAACTATCTTAAATTCAACTTCCATTTCTCTCTGTTTCAACCAGTGCTACGATCCCGGGTTTTCTTGTTCAAGCTCAAAACTTTGTAGTTTCCTTGATACCTCAGGTCACCCCTGTTCACCATACCAAACTTGTTGACAGTTTTACTATAATACTCACCATACAAATCCCTCAATTTTCATTCTCCCTTAATGGTGGTATTTGTTTACCTTTAGTTTTCATACACAATCCTGTATGATTACATTAGCTTTCTCACACTGAACTAGATTCCCTGCCTAATATCACTACTCTTTCCAAACTGGAACATATAAAACTGCTAGGCTAATACTCCCAAATACCTAATGGAAGTTAATGTTCTCTGCATATTGGAGAGCTATTTGTCAGATTTTCTTCTAATAACTTTATATGCATTTTATAACTTCAACCTTGCAACAATATATTTGAACTCTTTTTATCTCCGTTTTGCAGAAAAAGACCCTTAATAAAAGAAATACCAAGGAAATCTCCTAAGGCGGACTTAAGTATCTGATTCCAAAGCTACTTATAATCATCCCCTATTGCCTTCCTATGTAAATTAATAACTTGGACTGATGCCCAGTGCTCAAGAAGCTAAGTATGAATTCTGTGTGAAGACTTTAATCTAGAACTCAAATCTGCTCTCTTTAATCCCTTAATACAAATACAAAAGTCACTGCTACCACTGACTTTTACTGTCATTTGGAACACCATCTTTCCCCATCTATTCAGATGTGATTTACTTTTTTAAACTGATCTCAAGTGCAGTGCTTTCAGTGAGGTCATTTCAGACCACCCAGTGTATTGTGATATATCCTCTCCTTCGAATTTCTTGAACATCTATTTTTGCACTTATAAAATGTCTTTTGGAGATATTCAACTTATTTGGTTGTACTTTATGACATCTGACTTTCTGAGAGAACATAATGTATTTAGGGATACGGATTCTGCCTTATACTCTCTCTTGCCTTCATAATATATAGAATAATACATTAGGAAAGTGCTTTGCAGATAGCGGGTACCCCATTCAGTGAAAACTTATTAAGAGGTTTCCATGAGCAAGCACCTACAATGGGAATGGCAAAGTACACAAAAGTAAATAACATGTTCCGTGAAAGAACGTCCTTGCTATGAAGTAATTTCTAGTCAAATTTATGGAATAAACACATTATTATTTGTTGTATATTTGCATACATAATAACCACAGCAAGAGAGATACTGGCAGGTACCATAAGAGAGACTCAGGAAAGGCTCAGTCAAATCATGATATTTTGGGTGATATGCCATATCACAGATAGAACAAATATGAGTAGGGAAATACAGTTTATACACTTTGTTGTTAGTGTTAGCTGCTCAGTCATGCCCAACTTCTTTGTGATGCTATGGACTGCAGCCCACCAGGCTCCTCTGTCCATGGGATTTTCCAGGCAAGGATACTGGAGTGGTTTGCCATTTCTTACTCCAGGGGATCTTCCCGAGGAAGGGATTGAACCCAGGTCTCCTGCACTGCAGGAAGATTCATTCCTGACTGAGCTACCAGGGACGAGGAAATAGACTTATCTGACAAAAATACAAAAGGAAATGAAAGAGTGGAAATTAATAAAACAATAAATGGAACAAAACAGGAAACGCCCTGAATGACATGTTATGGATTCTGGATTTTCTTGGAACTGCTGCCTGGTTTTCAGCACCAGCTCATAATGAGCACAGCACACTGTCACACAGAGTTGCCGCTAATGATTAAAGTAGATCGTGTTTGTAAAACACCTAGTGTGGGGCCTACAAAATCACAGGTGTCCACCAAGGGATGCCTTGTCATTGTTCACTGTCAGAGTTTTGCTTGATACAGAAAAATCTGCCAAGACTCCATAGGATGCGGACAAAAGGAATCAATGAGAGCAAACTGTCATCTGATGTGTCCCTGAAAGGAGAGAGAAGCTCTGAGGCCAGAAGCATTCCATAAACATTTGTAGGAGCAGTTAGAAAAGCATAAGCTGATTTGTCTTTCCTTGAATGCCATGGATATTCATGATCTCTCAGAGAGATGTTAAAAGGAAAAAGAATCAAAATGATTAATAGAATTTCCTTTTAAACTCAGTCTCTTCCCCTCTCCCCCCGAACTTCAGAAGGTGGGAAATGGATCCTTTTGGTAACACAGAATACAACTGCCTTGCCCTTTCCAGAATTCGGCATTTCATTTCCTTCACTAGAATCATTTTACCTCAATTACTTCCAGCCAATCATCTTTACAATTGCTTGGCTCCTAGAAAGAAACTAGGTGGAAACCAACCATTGTGAGCCATTTGGCCTCCCATTTCCCAGAGGCCAACACTTAAGCACGTGAAGACTTGTTGACTGCCTTCTCATTCCTGGCCAACAAAGCTTCCTGTAGCAACAATCATCTCACTACTCACTCTCTTCTGTATTGTACTTAATTTTTGTACTTAGCTGTACTTAAATTATTTTCTATTGTAGTTCTCTTGCTATAGCTATTCTCCCGCTATTAATATATTCTTATGGTTTGTTCTCTAAATAATTAACAAAATCAAAATTTTCTTAAAATGTCCTGATATTCGAATATACAATTTGTGAAGTTCTTTTAAACTTTATTTTACTCAAAAGAGAGCAAAGAAGTAAGGCTATTAATCCTTAAGTTATTTTGCTGTTGAAGATGTTTGTTTCCACTTAGTTCAAGGGTTCTTAAGAAAAGATTTTTCTGAAATGTAGCTAAAAATAAGCAAAAATGGTGACTATTCCCCAGACTTCAACTGTACACTGGGGAATCAAAAAAGAGAACTCCTGTCCCATGCAATACCATTTTATTATCAACTATATTTTACTGTGAAAGTATATTATTTTTAGATAAATATGAAGATAAAATGAAGACAGAGATAAATTTAGCTAGAAGTAAATAATTGTTATTTGATTGTAATTATTATACAATAGTTGTAATTATTTCTATTATACAACAGAGAGAAAAATAAAAGTAGGAACACTATGATGAAGGTTCTATTTCTTTAAACGTATCCAGCCTGCCTTACTCATGTTTCTGAGACAGAACTAATCAGGAGAATGTTGCTTTTGCACTTATATTTTCTACCGAAGATTTCTGTCTCCTGCATTAGTTTCACTTCTTGGGAATAAATACAAGGTTCTAGTTGGTACAACTTCTCTTCTATGAAAAGTTGTTGCTAACCCAATGACTTCTAGCTCTATAGATGAAAGAGTAAATTGCTGAAACTTTTAAAACTTTTCAAGAGTCACAACTCAAACTTTATTAATATTAGTCTGATTTGTCAAACTTTATGATTCTTATATTGATTATATTGCATTCTAGCCCTCATGTCTACATTTTATCTGCTATGTCTACCATACAGTTTCTCCATTTTTAAGGTTATTTCATTTTTCCAACTCCTAATAGAAGGTAAACACTTGCTCATTGAAGAAATGATTATACTCTCATATGGACATGTATGAACACACACAAATTTGAAACACAAGTTGAATAAAAAGTCTCAGTACCAAAGACACTAGACCCTTGTTCACTTGTGTTTTCACATTCCATTTTATTTATATTTCCAAACAGTTAATTTAAGATTATCTTTATCCTCTTTTAACATATCAATACTTGAATTTTAGAATCTTAGATTTCTAGTGGATTTACATGATTGAAATATCTGTTGAGTTCCTTGAACTTGGATTATGCTTGATAAATAACCAAATATATCTCCCTACCTTTTCAGTTATACAACATGTGTTCTCTCAAATGCTACACTAAACTCAGCTCTGAGGCATGTTTGATGAGGGAGCAGGGAAAATGGAGATATTCTGGACCTTAACTATGAAATTTGGTTTGAATCACTGCTCTTCATATATGGGCTAAACAAATATTCTGTACTTCAGCTTTCTAATATGCAAAATAACAATGCCATTAAACACTTCTTGGAGTTGATGTAAGATTAATGAGATTACTTGTGACAAGATAACTGAAAGTCTTTCTTAGTTGGCGCTTCTTTCCCTTGGATTCTCACCCTTAATTGTATTCAGATTTTAGAAACTTTCTCTGAAGCAATTGGTTGCTTGAGACATTCTCAAAATAAATTTTAAAGCAGGGAGTTATTTATTTTTTTCTTTTTCAGCAGGAGTTTTTGTTTTCATTTTTCTTATGTCTGTCTACAATGTGGACAGTTGGACAGACAACCTGTGTGTGTCCACAGGCTCACATTGTAAAGTAGCTATTGAAATACAGAGAAACAAGAGAGGAGCAAGAGGATTTGTTTTAATCTGAATCCCCTAGTTTAAGCCAGAGAGAATCTCTCACAGCAGGGAGGCTCCCTCCTGATCAGCTGAGCATTGTCAGGTCCAGAGGCCTGACTCCACAGCACCCATCCATTGAGCCACCAACTTTTGTGTTGGTTACTGAAGATCTGTACCTTCCCTTGTTTGACATGTTTTGTTATATTGTGTTTTCTTCTCCAAGTAAGATGTGCCATCTTTGTATCTTTCCTTCAGCTCTAAGACGATCCAGTAGGAAGTTCGTCTACCACATTGAGATTAAAGATTCATACGACAAATCCCTCCTGTGCGAGGAAAGGTCAAAGGAAGCGATATGCAAGATTTATAAGGAACCCTTCTGGGGAACATCTTACAGACTCTGTGTGCATATCTGAAACTAAGGAGCATTTCCCCTCCATGTTTTAATGAAATTAATTTTTGTTTACTTTTGCTAAGTTTAACAGGTAATATAGTAAGAGATAATATTCTAAAGAGATATTTATATAAAAGCTACTAAGAATTCTCCTTGCAGCAATGTTAGATAATATATGACTGTAGATTTTTTTCAGTTAAAACTAAAATTCAGCTAATTTTCCAGATACTATCCACATTCAACCAAGTAAGAATTTCTTCCTAAAACTAGGCCCTTTGAGATGAAGAAAATGGCCTGACATCCAAGAGCTGTAGATAACAAGTTAGCAAGAAAGGAAAGATACTGAAGAGAGCCTGCCGTATCTCAAACTATCACAGTTTGATCACAGTTAAAGGGTAAGTGAAGAAAATCAGCTTTTTAAAATTGGAATATGTATTACTTAAGAATTACAAATTTAAAATCAGTACTAACTTTGTAAAATCAGTATTAACTCTGCAAAATTTATATATTTACCTATATACATATATATTTTTAAATCACATAGAATGAGTTTGGATTCTAAAACTGCCACTTACAATTTATTCAACTTAAAACAAGTCACTTAACTTCTGGGCTTTAGTGTATCTAAAATAAGAGTACTAATATCTATTTTATAGGATTGTTGGGAAATTAAGAAAATGCTTAGTTCTTAAGTGCTTAGTTCAGTGACTATGACAGAAAGCTTTTAATGAATATATAAATATTCATGGTCACCATCATCACTGTCACCATTACTTATATCCTTAGTTACTCACCAAGTACTGTAAAGATTTTAATACACACACACACATGCATACACATACAGACAGAAGATATGAAATAACCAGTGAAGGAAAAAGATACCTAAAGAAGAGGGAATGGAGAAGTATATTCTCAAGCACTGTGGTGGTTTTGAAGTCTGTCTACTGATATGTGGTATATTTGTTGATATACCATACTCACTGACCCAAGAGGTGAGGCTTAATTCCCATCCCCCTGAGTGTGGGCTGCATTTAGTGATTCACTTCTAAAAACAGGATAAAAAAATAAATAAAAATAAAAACAGGATACAGCAGGAGTAAAGGGAAGTCACTTCTAAGATTAGATCATGAAAACAGCATGGCTTCCATCTCGGGTGTGCTTTCTGTTGCTCTCTCTTTGATCCCTCTTTTTAGGGAAAGCCATATTAGGAGAAGCCCCAGGGAGGACCTTAAGAGTAAGGAACTGAAGTCTCCTGCTGGTAGTAACGTAAGTGAGCCTGGAACTTCAAGCCCTGTCAATAGCTTGAAAGCATCTCATTAGAGGTCTTGAGCAAGAACCACCTCATTCCTATATTCTTGACTCTCAGCAACTATGTGAAATATATACTTGTTGTTTTCAGCTGTAAATTTAAAAATTATGGAGAAATAGATAATATACATCTTAAATAATGAAAGAAACTGATTCAAGGAAATGATGATAGAATCAGATCAGAAAAGAGGTATTCAGGAGTTGTGTTAGCCATTTCATCATGGAGCATAGCTTCCTGGTTCCTTACTCATGAATTACTCAACTCCAGCTTCCTATTAAATTCTAATAACGTCTGTTATCATCCTACCCATCTCTTGGATTATTCAACTGTACAAAGGCAAGTATCACTGTTGGTAATATCTATATTTTAACTGGATTTTACATAAAACTTCTTAAATCATTTAAAAATATTTCTAAAATGTGACAATAGATACATCTTTTTGTGCTTGGTATTATTTTCTTTAAGGACAGTTAAATCTAGAGACTTTTTGAACATTTAAAAAAGAAGTATTCTTGCACCTGAAACCATACATCAACTTCAGGAAAGGAAGATTTGGCAACTGTTTCTAAGTTGATCACTCTTCGAGTAATAAAAAAAATGGCACATTTCCCAGACTGAAATAATTATTTTAATCTCAATCAATTATTCTTTCCTTCTCTCATTCCCCTCTGTCTCTCTCTCTCTGTCTCTCTCTGTCTCTCTCTCTCTCTCTCTCTCTTTGGAGGGTTGTATGGGACAAAGAGTTTCTTAATTGAATAACAATTAAGAGATATCACTAATTAATACATCAGGAATCTATTGCTTCCCACGGGTGAGAGTGAGAAAGAATAAAAGTTACAGCTATATATATTTTGTCCACTTTAATTTCCAAAGAAATACTTGAAGGCTATAACAGTTGTTTGTTACTGGAAAAGGAATGAGTAAAGAAAACACTCTAGAAGATTATTCACAATAATTGCATACACCTGCATTTAGAATACAATCCTGCAATTGGTTGCCAAGACCTACTGGAACATAAGAGGAAACCTATTAAATACTGTACATTTTTTACATGGAGAATTATCCATTTGTGATTTTTTAAAAATTATTTTAAATTCTTTAATTTTGTCAATTTTTGTGAATTAAAATAACAGCTTAACATGCAAGTTGAGGACAACCTTTCTCAAAAAGAAAACAATCAATAACTTACCATGGTTCTCTAGACTCATATAATTCTACTATAAAGGTTATGTTGTGATTTTTTTGTTATGGTTTTCATCAAAATGGCTTATTATGAGAAACGTATGAGAAAATTCAAATCCATTAGAAAATTTCAATTATGTAAGCACTTCAACACTTTATGAAGAATACATATTTCATAGTCACTTGAAAGTCGATTTCATAAAACTGCCTAATAAGTTAGGATTAAAGCCCCCTTCTTTCCTAATTTTTAAAATAACATCATCCCACATTTCTAGTAGTCCCTTTTCTCTTTTTCACACCTAAAATAGCCTTCTGGACTCTCTTTTCACTGTACTTCTCACCAAAAATGTGGTTCAATAGCTTGAAAGCATCTCATTAGAGGTCTTGAGCAAGAACCACCTCATTCCTATATTCTTGACTCTCAGCAACTATGTGAAATATATACTTGTTGTTTTCAGCTGTAAATTTAAAAATTATGGAGAAATAGATAATATACATCTTAAATAATGAAAGAAACTGATTCAAGGAAATGATGATAGAATCAGATCAGAAAAGAGGTATTCAGGAGTTGTGTTAGCCATTTCATCATGGAGCATAGCTTCCTGGTTCCTTACTCATGAATTACTCAACTCCAGCTTCCTATTAAATTCTAATAACGTCTGTTATCATCCTACCCATCTCTTGGATTATTCAACTGTACAAAGGCAAGTATCACTGTTGGTAATATCTATATTTTAACTGGATTTTACATAAAACTTCTTAAATCATTTAAAAATATTTCTAAAATGTGACAATAGATACATCTTTTTGTGCTTGGTATTATTTTCTTTAAGGACAGTTAAATCTAGAGACTTTTTGAACATTTAAAAAAGAAGTATTCTTGCACCTGAAACCATACATCAACTTCAGGAAAGGAAGATTTGGCAACTGTTTCTAAGTTGATCACTCTTCGAGTAATAAAAAAAATGGCACATTTCCCAGACTGAAATAATTATTTTAATCTCAATCAATTATTCTTTCCTTCTCTCATTCCCCTCTGTCTCTCTCTCTCTGTCTCTCTCTGTCTCTCTCTCTCTCTCTCTCTCTTTGGAGGGTTGTATGGGACAAAGAGTTTCTTAATTGAATAACAATTAAGAGATATCACTAATTAATACATCAGGAATCTATTGCTTCCCACGGGTGAGAGTGAGAAAGAATAAAAGTTACAGCTATATATATTTTGTCCACTTTAATTTCCAAAGAAATACTTGAAGGCTATAACAGTTGTTTGTTACTGGAAAAGGAATGAGTAAAGAAAACACTCTAGAAGATTATTCACAATAATTGCATACACCTGCATTTAGAATACAATCCTGCAATTGGTTGCCAAGACCTACTGGAACATAAGAGGAAACCTATTAAATACTGTACATTTTTTACATGGAGAATTATCCATTTGTGATTTTTTAAAAATTATTTTAAATTCTTTAATTTTGTCAATTTTTGTGAATTAAAATAACAGCTTAACATGCAAGTTGAGGACAACCTTTCTCAAAAAGAAAACAATCAATAACTTACCATGGTTTTCTAGACTCATATAATTCTACTATAAAGGTTATGTTGTGATTTTTTTGTTATGGTTTTCATCAAAATGGCTTATTATGAGAAACGTATGAGAAAATTCAAATCCATTAGAAAATTTCAATTATGTAAGCACTTCAACACTTTATGAAGAATACATATTTCATAGTCACTTGAAAGTCGATTTCATAAAACTGCCTAATAAGTTAGGATTAAAGCCCCCTTCTTTCCTAATTTTTAAAATAACATCATCCCACATTTCTAGTAGTCCCTTTTCTCTTTTTCACACCTAAAATAGCCTTCTGGACTCTCTTTTCACTGTACTTCTCACCAAAAATGTGGTATTTGGTCCTACACATATTTTCAATTTACAGGTAAGAAAGGGAGACAATGTATTGAGAAAAGAGATGAGGATTACAGTCTTCACTTTGACAGTATCTCTGGGACCTTGGCCACATTACTTCATTCTCCTTAGATTCATTTTCTTCAGCTACCAAATTAAGCTTTGTTCCAGTTCTTGTTCAGCTACAACATTTTATAACTGTCAAATCTGACATCCAAATCTTACCACATCTCTTTAGTTGCAAATTTTCTGGTATTTCTCCTGTTCTGTACATTTTTCTACTTGCTGTTCCTTCAAATTCAAATTCCCTTAAACTAATGAGAAGTGTCTGCCTACACAGCCATTCATTGTTTCCCCTGGTAAGGACACCAATATTTCCACTACCCAGACTTGGAAATCCAGAATTTTTGTCTTAACCTTCCCTTCTTCTTCAACATTAAATGAGTTGCAAAATTCACTTTGAGATTTTCATCTCTATCTCTTTTCAGTCTAGTATCTTTCCATTTGCATCACACTATTTCTGATTTTTATTGCTACTCACCTAGACAACTACTAAGGTTCCAACTTAATTTCCTGCCTACAGAGTTCACACCACCCAGTGACAGACTGGAAATATCACTGGGAAGCAGGAACACTGTCATTCTAACTTCTGAGCCCCATGGTATATGGGGCAATATTTTAGAATTAAAGATGGTTTCCATCAACCCAAACTTTTGAGTATCTCACAAACTGTTTTAAATTATGTTTATATTAAAAGTATCACAGAAGTATATTAAAAGTCATCACAAAATGACACAAAGCAAATATTTTCCCAGCCCTGAGTCATGTCTCGCTCCAATAAGAATTTGTTGAGCATATTTCATGTAGCAGACATTATGCTAGATATTAAGTAAATTGAGATTACTATTTTCTGCATTGGAGAATTCACTACTTGGTACAGAGCAGACAGAACTGTAAACAAAAATAAATTACAATATAAACAGAACAAAAGCCCATATTGG